CCCCCCCCCGCCAAACTTGAACAAACTCATATTTTCCCCGTGCGACAGCGAAGCGCCTAACTGCTAGATCTACACCTCAAAAGTTGGTTACCCATAAAGTTAAAAAGTGTTTGAAAGACTTGTAATTTGACTCCAAACTAATGTGCTGTTTGGCTGTTTGAAAAAAGAACAACAAATCAAAGCAGAAAAAACGCATTGGCTACAACAAGTTTGGGGATCAAACATCTTCTCAAAGAGGTAGAGATAGATAACCGTGGAGAGTAGGGGAGAACCCTGGTGCCACATGTGCTTCAGAAAATACCTCGTATACTCAAAGAAGGGATCATCTTACGACAGGAGGCGCCATAAATCCTATCAAAACCCCCATTGCCTTGAGGGTTGCCTTCGGGTTACAATTAGGCTAGCAGAGAAAACTGTACACAGTAGACATTGGGAAACAACTGCTGTAATCTCTCAAGAGCAATCGTTGAAAGACAGAGGCACAAGCTGCCAGTTAGACAACGGAACACAGTAAAACCACAGAGCTAGATAATATCCCAGTTGAAGTGATTGTCACCCAAGAACTAGGCACTGAAATTACTACATAACTCTAAACTGTTACCTATGACAGGGGTGAGATTCCAGAAGATATGATTAAGTCAGTTTTATAGCTAAACCTAAAATGCCACCAGGTGCCACTGAATGTGAGATGCATAGAACAAGAAATCTTATAAGATATTTTACTAAAATCTAGGTGCAAATACTAATGGTAAGAATGAGAAAAGTCATACCAGAGATACCTAAAACACAACTTGGCTTGCTTCTTGACAAGGGCACCAGAAATGCTATATTTACCTCATCAATGGAAATATGTATTGAATCGCAAAAACGCTTCCCAGATTATTCAAGGGCTTTCGATGAAGTAAGACTTGATGAGTTATTTAAAATATTGAAAGAACTAGATACAGCTTTAAAAGATATAAGAATTATTAAGAATTTTTCTGGGTCCAAAAGGCTGTTGTAAGAATTGAGGGAGAGCACAGCAAATATAAGCAGATGAAAAGAGTGGTGAGGCAAGGATGTGTTACATCACCAGACTTCTTTAACATATTCCGTGAAACAATTCTTAGAAATATAGAGGGATGCCAAGGTCTCAAAGTGAATGGCAAAAATAAAAACAGCATTATATCACATGCACGGGCGCGCGCACCCCCCCCCCCCCCCACACACACACTTTAAATTTTCCATTCCATTTTTCCACCTCGAAAGCTATTTATCCTTTCAGGGCTCGCTGTTTCTGACCTGTGCTCCTTGCTGACCATGATATGGCTAAGCATCTGCGTGAACCCACTCTTCTACCAATCTGTGTTGCCCTTTGACCCCAGGGATATCTTGTACCTCACGGGGGCCACGCCACATATCCTCTTTGCCAAAATTGCGTCTTTGATCACCGCCTTCATCACCTTCGAACGATGTTTGTGTATCGCTTTACCTCTGCGGGTGAAGACGATCATCACACCGGCAAGGACAAAGGTAATTGTTATCTCTATCTACATTGGCATGTCCGTCTTGATGATCCCCTTCTACCTTGGAAACAGACTTGAGTGGGTTTTCGATTTGACCTTAAATGCTACTGTGCTAAAAACCACGTACACGGCCGAGAGAGAAATGCTAGAAGCTATTATGTTTCTCACCCAAGGCGTATTTGCTACGGCATTTTCCTTCATCTTCGTCATCTGCTGTACCATCGTTCTTGTTGTCAAACTCAACAGTAAAACAAAATGGCGACAGGCCACTGCTTGTAAGTCTGATCGTGCTGTTGAAGGAGTTGGAGTCAAAGATCAAAAGGTTGTGAAAATGGTGACCTTCATCGCTATCATCTTCATCGTCTGTGCCTTACCCCCCACGCTCTTGTTTTTCTATATGGTGATTGACCCAAGTTTCCGTATTGCTGGTATCTATCGAAATCTCTACCTTGTCATTTGGTCTTCATCATATCTAACCGAAACTGTCAATTCTAGTGTGAATATATTTGTGTATCTGAAAATGAGTTCGAAATATCGAGCTGTGTTCATGAAAACATTTTTGAACAAGGAGGAAAAATAGCTTTCTGGATACGTAAGAAAAATGTCTTTTTATAAGATCATTTCAAAGAAAAATACATTATTACTAACGAGGAAACTGTTGTCTTTTTTATGAAGAACAAAGAAATCTCAGTAATTCTTAGACAAGAAAACAAAAAGAATCTTTTTTGTTTATTGTCCAGATGCTGACACATTGGTATGGTGTTTCACAACTCTCTCTCTCTCTCTCTCTCTCTCTCTCTC